GACTCAGCGAATGCTTTTGTCATGCATGGTGAAAAAGGACCAGAAAACATCATGAGGTTAGACTGCACCATGGGAAATCGGCCCAAAAGCATTTCCATTTTACGGATAATCCGACGCATTTTCTCCTGTATTACTCGCATGAACTTCCAAATGAGGCCTACGTCAGACTGATCCGGAATAGGTCAACCAAGTTGTCTACTCAGGACGCACAAAAGACGTTACCCTCATTGAGCGTATCCAGCGGGCGGCTGCGAGAATAGTTGCCGACCTCATATCCGTGGACTACGAAACGCGTCTCGTGCTGTTTGCTCTCCTTCCCCTCGAGTACCGTTGCCTCCTAGGGGACCTAATTCTTACTTACGCCCTGTTTTAACAAAGCTTGGCAAACAGTTTTTTTTACCGTTGACCCAGCAACCACACGGCGGGGACATAGTGAGAAGATTTTCAAGCTAAGAGCGCACACATTCATTAGAAAAAATTTTCTCATTTCGAGTAGTAGGTGCGTGGAATGAAATTCCTCCGACGGCTGTCCACGCTCCTTCTAGAACCCAGCTTGAAGCACTATTAGACATTTATTTACGCGAATCCTCGCGCTGGCGAGCATACTGCCCCGCGCTGAGAACATAAAAAGCAGTGCTACACCCTTTTTCACTTGTGCCTTTCAGGTGAACGAAAGGCCACTGACCGACAAGAAGAAAAGCGACCCGAGAAACTTAGGCAAAGTCCTCGATCCTGTGTATCAATCCGCGAATCCGTGAATCCGTGGATCCGTGAATCCATGATTAAACCTATTGGAGCGGTTGACTTGCTGAACAATGTCCTTGAATTTTGGTGTCTGTCCGGAGGCGGACACCCCTGGCCGCTTGGTCGGTCCCATATGTGGCCTTTAACTAGGTGTAGTGTTCCAATGTAGTGGATCTAACCTCATTCACTTCTCAGTAGATTTCCATGGATTCTTATAATGATGTAATTGTTCGGCCGACCGAAATAACCTTTTCACGCACAGCCGTGAATCCAGTGGAAGTGCTTATTCTTAATCGGTCTCAGAAGCGTTTACGCTACAAAAGTTAGTACTTATGATCTCACCGCTGTTATCTTGAACCCAATAGTTCTTTGCACTGCCAGAGGTACGTACGCTCTATCTAAATGCAAGGGAACTCTTTGTCAGGAGGCGTTCGTGAAGATGTAACTCTATTTGTTTTTCGAGTAATGTCTCCCCACAGTAATATTGAGCTTATACGTGCCTCGCTACTTGATCAGAACCGAAGGGACTTTTTCAAGATCCAATTTTTTGATTGCCTGGATGACTCATTGCAGGGTGAGTTCAGAACAAATGTCGATTTTTAGTATTAATCTGCATGGATTGTTGATGTTCGACTCGCCTTCAGAGTAGGATCTCTGGTGCATACGTGTTCCATGCTTGTAGCGCCGTGCGTATGCGCTTCATTTGGTCCGCAGAAGTTAGGAGGTGCACCGCTTGTGTTGATCTTGTCCTTACGCATGTTTCCAACTGCAATTCATAGGTAAACACCGTTGTCGAGTCTAATAATCTGTATCCCGACATGAAAGCTACCCAAGAGTGAGTAGTATATACCTTAGACCGAAATTAACCCACGAGAGGTAGTTTAATCGGATTGGGCTTGTAGCTACATGTAACATTAAGCAACGTAAAGTGGCTTGCATGTATACTCCCGGCCGCACCCTTTCAGTTCAACTACAGTTCTTCAGTTCCATGCACATTAAGGTTCAGGTGTTTCGAGAACGGATGGCGGTGCACACCTGCCTTTGAACGCTGTCACTGATTTGTACTTTACTGACTTGTTCGAAGACCAGCTTCATCATCATAAACAGGAACTCCAGTGCCCAGTCAGGGAACTTCACGCCCATGTAAGCTCCCTCATTTCTCAGCTCCGAACAGAGTAATCATCACCGCGGTGGGAACTGAGAAGGGCGCCTGACGGAATCCTGGAGCTCTTCACGAACTCTTCCCTGGATTTAGGCTTCGTGCTATAAAGTTTGCGGTATGTGAGAAGTGCGCATAATACCAAAAGCCTTGGATTAGAGATTAAAAAGCTCCGTAAAGGCCCCAGTGGAGTCGACAAACGACTGTCGCATTTACTAGTCAAGTGTCATTCCAGGTTCAAAGGGCGTGGTGACTCCCACTTGTTCCTTTGTTTGCGCATCACCGAGTAGTAGCCTGCCGATGTGGTAAGTTCCAGGCGGTTGGTTAATTCCGGTAGAGTGAACTGAATTTGGCGTGGTTGGCAGACAACCCTCACAACATTTGTCCTAGTTATCAAAGGCCACTCCCATAATTTCTACCTGATATTACTGTCACCCACGTTTCTAGGTCGTTCGCATACACAATGCGCCACCGGCATATGGGATAGAAAGTTAACGAAAATCCACAAAAAGTGCCTATTCGCAAACTGATCCTTGTGCTATTCCGTTTGCAACAGCTGGAATTCGGAGTGCTGTTCATAAATTTGGTCTCATCCGTCTTGCCAACTAGCCAATCCATTCAAATATCCTCCCTCTAACTCAATGCTTAGAGAGCTTATTCGACAGCCTCTAGCAGGAATCCTTGCTCGAGTTAACGAAAACAATATGCAGTTCTCGCCCCTCATCCACTCGTGCCGATTTTTAGTCAAGCAGCAGATTGGTCTCTTAAGAAACCTGTACAGTTATTCATGCCACAAACCGAACAGCGCCTTATTATCTCGGTCATCTTTCCCAGTACTAATATGAGACTCATTGGTCGATAGTTTGCTGAGTCACCTTTGTGCATTTCCATGGTTGTCGTCCCTGTTAATTTCCGAACAACGAAAAAGGATGTGGTACATTTACAGCTGGTATCTTTGAAACTAAGTGGTGAAAGTCATTGGAGTCAGGGAGGAAGATTTCTACTTTTTATCACATTTGGACTACCGACCAACGTTGTGTTATGGATCCAAATTCGGGACCGGTGGGTTATGGTGAAAAACGGATGCCTACTTTTCCAAGAGGGTATCCACTTTCAGGTTCTTATCTGTCAGCGCATGTGCTCTGTTGTGTCAGGATGGAATAGCTTTCTTTACCTTTGTCATTGTCGTATATAGGTGAACAGCTGTTTAAGTGTGGAAGTTTCCACCAAATCCTATTCATATTCGCGATGTTTGCTTAGCTGTCACGCGCAGCCTGGTACGCATCATTTCCTTTTTGACAGTTGGTCAGTTTGCGTTTACTCTTGAGCTCCTGTTTAATCCGAGACGGCCAAAGCGCATGTCTTCTTGTTTGTCCGTGTTTGTAGAGGCACTCGTGCTGCCTCCCACGAAGAAAGCATGAGTTGAAAAAGGTCGGCCTTAAAGTCTGGTAGTTGACCGTGACCACCGGTGAATAATCCAGTGACGTCAAAATACAGTTAAAATGTACTGAAAGCCAGATGAGGCTCCAAGTGCTGCTGTCTGCAATAGCATCAGGAGTGACTCAATCGTGCCCCACCTGGCTGAGCTAGTTCTCAGCGGCGAAGTTGGACAGACTGTTGGACAGGGTCCTCAAAGAAGGTCCTAACTCTGGCTATAACGAGAATTTACTGACCGGAAGGTCCGGGGTTCGAACCTGACCTATGCATTTCGGCTTCCCCTATCTAGGCTTGGGAAATCTGATAGTATCCCAGCCGTCGTGTTTTCTTCTGGTAGCATAGCAGTTAGGCACCGAAAGGGTGCTACAAAACAACATAGTACCCACTTCCCCTTCGGTCCGAGTTTTGAGTTAGACACTACAGTCGTGGTCCCGAAACAAGACCTCGCATCCTCTCATTACTTTGTGGGAGAGACGTTTGGTGCTGAGAGTAGGTTATCCCAAAACCCCATTCCTCGGCTCCAGAATTGTCATTCACCCCTGCAGCCCGTTGTTCACAGCCTCTTCATCCAGCTAACAGTCCACTGTGACCCGTACGTCTGCCAGTCTGCTGACGATCGTTCTGTGTCTAAACTGTTGTCAAGAAAAATAAACCAAGATAATCCCTCACAAAACTCAGTAGATCTGATCCGCTCTGCGACTTTCAATATCTATACTCCTTGTCGAATTTGGTGCAGGTATATGCTGCTTGAACTTAGATTTCTGTTTCTGTCTATGTATTTTGTTTCTCCGAAACACTCATACAGACCCCACTTCGATTATACACCTCAGGTCGTTTATGACTAGCTCAAATGTCTTACGTTTCACTCTCCAGGCATCTTGCAATCCTGTTGCAATGGCTGGTGGTATCTATGGCGGAGAAGTTGTACTCATTCCCTGGGCTGAAATAGCTTCACTGAACAGTAAACAGTCGTTTTCAAGTGTAGAGTTGTCTGGTTCACTCAGGATCAACGCAGTTCGATGCGGCAAATGGTGTCTATTTGTTGTTTTGGCTCACGAAACAGATTGGAATTCTTAAGCTGAGAAAGATAGGTTTCATCGAGGTCTGTCAAGACTGTTTCGGTCAGCAAGTCACGTATAGTCATCCTGGCGGCTAATATGAATACCCAGTGCCGACAACCAACCACAAGTAGTAAATTTGGATTTGATGCTCATCTTACGGATAATGGGAAACGAATTCTTCAGTTGCGAGCTGAACATCGTCTGTTCCTGATCAGCACGCACTTCTAACACAAGTGCTCATGCCGACTTCCTGAGAGTCTACCAACCCAAGGGTAGTCGTGAACTAAGTTTCATCATGTGGCTGTCAGTTACCGATGAGTAAAGATGACTCTTCTTTCCGGGAAAAAGTTGCAGCAACCTTTCGGTGCCTAACTGCCATGCCATCAGAAGACAGCACGAGAGCTGGGATATTGCCAAGTTGCCTGACCCTAGAGAGGGGAAGTCGAGAGGCAGAGGTTGGGTTCGAACCACAGACCTTTCGGTCAGTAAATTCGCGCTCTGACCATTAAGCCATCATACTTCAGAATGTGAATCCTACGAACATGCCCCTTGCGACACAAAATGCACTTCAGGTTGTAGAACCTCTAGTTGTATCAACCATGACGAAAGTGTTTGACGAAGCCTGTGTACCAGTCCCAAAGACCGGAATCACGTTTGCCAATTGGCGACAACAGCCGTGTCAAAGATCGTGTCAAGGATCGTGGGTACCAGGTCGCAGTATGATTGTGAGACACGGCCTCTGTGGATACCGATCTGAGGCGTCTTCAAGCTTTCAACCGCGAATGTCGCACGAGTGTTGCTGATATCGGATGGCGTTGACGAATTCGTAGTGGGACGATTAAGCAATGGGCAATTTAGTTGTGCTGCAGGCACAACGGCGCTGTCAGACGCGGTTGCTCGACCATATGCTACGCATGCTGAAATATACTTTACGGAGACGCGTGCTGCTCTCTATGTCTCCTTCAGAATGGCAGAGTGCGAAGTGGATAGTGTGAATTTGCAGGTGGACATGGCAACCGTTCACCGAAGAATTAAATTAAATCCAGTTCATTGGTTAAGTGGTTATGGTTGCCAAATGTGCCTTCAAAGGACATACATATTCACAGCAAGCAAGGGGTGCACCTAAGTGTCTCACTCACCAGAACACGCCGTAAACAGACGACTTCATTATGGGGCGACAGTTTATGTAACTCTGTGAGCTGCAAAAGTACATCGTCTTGCGTTCCAGGCTAGTCAACGGATGGAGCTCTGACAATCATAAACTCTAGTTTTCCTGTCATTTGCTGTGCGTGAATGGTCATCATCTAACGAGACGACGCGAGGTGAAAAATGTGGATTGACAGAAGGGTGTGAGAGGGACGACGCACTTTTGACTCCCTGTGTGCTTGGTTGGAGACATCCCGAGGCCAGCAGATGTCAGTGGTGTTCGCGCTGTCAGTTTTTACCAATGTACCTGTGTGAGCGTTTGAAGATGTAATCAACTCAGAATGACTGCAGCTTACTGCTTAATCCGGCGGAGCCAGGTCCCTTCCCTGTCCACTCCTATTCTTCCGTCTTCAGGCTCTAAACAGAGACATCGGTGTCGATATTGCTATTCCCGTCGATTCTGATGATGATGAAAATGTAACTTCATCAGTATACCGAAGAACCATAAGGTCTGTGCGAAGAATCACGCACCCTGATTTAGACATTTTTGAAGCAGAATCATTTGGACACTTACCTCAGAGACCGTGCAATGTCAACGGAAATGTAAAGTGCATTAGGTCCAGGCTATGCACATACAAATAAGGCTAGTGAGAAAAGTGACCCTATCGATATCCGAGGAATAGAGGCTACACTGCCGAGTGGTAACACAGCTGTAGGTACAAGAGAGCAAAGATATCTCAGTGCGTCAACTTTAGCAAAAGGTAATAACCGCGCAGAAACGTGTTTGTAATAAAAGCATACACTTGAAGTCAACCCTTCACGAAGAGACTGGACCTTACCGTGGTGTGACCGTGCACCTCAGCGATCCATTGAGTTATGCTGCGTAGTGTTTCCGTGACACTCACAGAGTCTTCTCTCATGCCAGGTTGGTCAATGGTTAGAGGTCTGACGAACACAGTCTCCTGGCCCCCCAGGTTGGGGGTTGGAACATGTGGCGACTTGTTCCGTAGAAATGGTAATGCATTTGCATTTCCCGCCAAACACCGCTGCCTTGCAGTTAGGCTTTTGAGCCAAGGGCTTTGGTTGAGGGCCCTAATCGTCTTCCTGTCTAGGTGTGGGGTGTTGGCGCCCTGGCAGTACCCCAGCCCTCGTAAAACCGTGACATTTACGACCAGCAATACTCTCGTGCTACATCGGCCGTCGCGTGGTGCCATCAGCCGGGTCGCCTTACTTGCTGCATACAGCAGGGCGGGCTACAGCAGGCGGCTACTGCTGACGCCTCCCTTCTTTCTCTTTCACATACTTTTTTCTTCCCCCTCTCCCCACCCCATTAATAACTCTCTTCTTGTAGGCCCAGCACTTAGGATTGATGACTCCGTTCGTCATGCATTGGTTTTGCGTGCAGCATCTGCTCGTCACATGGCACCGACATCTTCAGGTATCTCCGAATCAGTCCTAAACCTCGACACCCAGTCTATCTGGCCGCGTTCAAAATCCGCACTCTGAAGCAAGCATGACAACAAGCTGCTCTTGCACTCACGATGGACCCGCTTGGGATTGATGTGTGCTGTGTCTCATAATCATAATCATCATCAAAGACAGCAACATCAGTGTTGGCACTGATGCTTCACTGCCACAGTGTCTCATAAACTAGAGTTCAAGATGCAAGTACAGTGATTGGGCAACCTGACAGTAAGGTTGCCCTAGCCTAGGCAGGGGTAGTCGAGCCTAGACAATAGAAGTCGAGATACAGCGGTTGGGTTCAAACCACGGACCCATTTTGCAACGTGCAGTGAAGAGAATGTGCCTACAAAATGGGGCGTGTCCACAGCTGTTCCTGTCTTCAAGAAGGGTACGCGAACGCTGTGCGAAAACCACCATGGCATCAACCCTGAAAACCAAGCTGAGTTCCGTCCTGAAAAAGAATGCGTCGATCACATTCCAAGAACAGCGACGCCCTGTCTTCAAGAAGGGTACGCGAACGCTGTGCGAAAACCACCATGGCATCAACCCTGAAAACCAAGCTGAGTTCCGTCCTGAAAAAGAATGCGTCGATCACATTCCAACCTGGAACAGCGACGCCCATCACAGCAACCAAAATGGTTGTCTTCCTTGACTTCAAGCTGCTCTTGACTTTGTGGATCGTCAGGCTTTATGGCGATGTCTGTAGCAAAGATTCTCCCCGCAAATTCTTAGTCCTCAAGGCGGTGTAAGCCAACTCCCGCGAATGTGTTAAGGTCTACGGCAAGTTCTCACCTGAGTTCACTGCATCAGTTGGTGCGAGGCAAGGCTGTCCTGTTTCACCTTATGGAAGACTCACTACCAGCCCCTAATACCTTAAGGGGTCCAAGTGCTCCGGGCTGTTCGTTCACAGACATCGTGTACACATACGACAGCTCTTCTGGGATCTGACGCCGTGGTAATGGAAACAATAATAAATAATCTAAATAGTAGTGCCTCACGGTTTGACACGCGCTTCACACCTGCGAAGTGTGTTGTTGGCTGGGTCCGAACCTTCGCATCTTGATTGCGGATGAACCGATTGAAACAAATTTGCCTGCCTGGACAGGGTCTCCCGAAGGGTGATATTTCCATCCGAATTGGGAAGACCAGAGCAGATTTCATAAACCTGCACCACCTGCGGCGGAGGTGTGACATCAGGTTATCCGTCACAGGTCGATTTTGTAATGCTGCGGTGTGCTCTATATTGTTGTTTGGGTCAGAAAGCAGGTCTGTGCGCGCTAGGAGCCTCAAAAATCTTGTGTCTGGCTATCGATGTCTTCGGAGCATTGTCAGGATTAGTAACGCTGATCCGAAAGATATAACTCGCCCTCGATAAATGAACTGGTCACACTGCATAGGTTGCGCTGGCTTGGTCACCTGGCAGTCCACCGATTTCCTGAATGGGCTCTTTTCGTACAACCACGTGAAGAGTTGAAACGAGAAGTCCGCTGACACCCCCGTGTTCATGCGTCAATTATATCAGTTGTCGCCTCCAATAGTTATCTACTCGACCTCCCGAAATCACCGGCGAACAAAATCGTGGTAGGTCTAACCACCGTATGCCAAGTACGCGGTTTTTACTGTTGCTGCTGCAGCTGATGATAATGATGATACTTATACTCAGTACACCACGTCAAGCCCGAGGTAATGATCAGTGCAGTCGGGGTTTGAATTCGTAGCATAATTTTTCCGCTAGTCCTTGAGCTCTTTCCATTTGTACGGTCTCGTCCTTCTTACACACGAACTGTATCGATGCTCTACATTAGGCGACAGGTTGGGTGAATTTACAAGTAGCCTGGACATATATTCCTCTGTTGATAGGGGCAGGTTCGACATTGGGGGGCCTATAATTTCCCTAACTCGACAGCCTGGTATATTGCTGTAGTTCATGAACCTACTTGCTTTGTCAATTATCTATACAATATGATTCATTACCACATGTTCTGTCACTAAGGGGGTTCCGACACTCATTCGACCTTTTTGTTTCCGCTGCCCATTCAGTATCATGAAAAGTACTATGAAGGGATTTCAAGTCATCACCCACATGCACCACACCAGCAGTTTGTCATGAACATCATATTGCTATGCTCCTGCAGTTTAGGTGGTTTGCTCACCATTTTTTTGCTGAAGTCGTTCATGAAGTTCGTTTTTCAGTTTATATTCATACTGACAGTGTGACAGGAAGTCAGTTTTCTAGTTTGGAAAAGGTAGTGAGAACATTGAGTCAGGCAAGACCGGTCGTTCTAGAACGAAAAAGAGTATCATATGGTGAGGATGAACTTCACGGGTCATGCTTAGAACTCCGTACGTATCGTTTGACAAGTGCCAAATAATTTGATGAGTGGGACACTTGTGTGATATCGAAAGTAAAAGTTTGGTTATGTCGCATGATCGTAGTTGTCATATTTGTCATCAGGCAATCGAAACTCCTCTTTGTTTAAGATTTCTGTGAGGAGCTATATGTGGTCGTCTACCACAGACGAATATCACTCATTGTCGACGCCTGCAGCATTTGTCCATACCATAGTTAGCAGCGTCTATCCGATAAGGTGTACTGAACAGCGTCATGACGGACGTCCACCTCTACAACAGCTTGCGCACTCGGATATCATTATTTTCCGAAAAAATCCAGATTAGGGTGATTTCGGACAGTTTGTTATCGAATTTTGTCGAAAGAATTGCCCGGATTGGATGTAACTGTGTCTTGTCTTATTTGGATCTACTGATCAGTCCACGGCATTCAGTCCCTACATTTGAAGTGCCCCTTAATGAGGAATCTCACGAGATATTTCAATGTATTTATTATAAACCGATTTGACTTACCCTGTTTTGCTTGGTGCACCCTATTGAATATTTGTGCTCATTTTTCTTTGTACCATTCTACTGAACTCTTTTTTTAAAGGAGAGCGCTTTATCAGTTCAGTCGTTTTACCAGATCCGACGGCTTCTAGTTATCGATCACTGGACTCGGACTCTTGCAATTCCTGGCCGAATCGTAGCATCGATAATCTGTCCGTATCTTCGAATCCTCCGCGCGCTCTTTCACTGGTACGACCGGTGGACAGCCTTTCGACATGTTCGAGTCAGTCCACCCTAAAGGGGAATCAGAAATCACTACCAACTGCCCTTATTCGTCGCGGAGAGCACAGAAGCCTCGTGAAGCCGCCTACTAAACCACGTCTTGGTTTGTTTCTTGCGTCTTTACTTGTCCGTTCTCTGCTTCTCACCCCCTACGGAGTTCGGCTTTTTTACGTATGAATTTCAAGTCTATAAAAAGTTCAGGTCCATTCACTAAGTCCTCATTCAAGAGCTGTCTTAGATTGTTTTTACTTGGTTGTGATTAGAATAACACGAACGACCTACTTATAACGTCTTACGACTTCCACTCCGAGGACACTTTGCATTTCCTGACGTCTCTTCACCCAGCTTTGCTTTGACTTTCGTTGAGCGTGCACAAACTCAGGAGATTCCTTAACTCATGGGGTATGTGACGTATTGTGCACCTGCACTTGTCGATTGGGTGTACACTGAGCTTATCGGATGGCTGGTCTCTGGCAGAATATCTGTGAACGAGGTACGCAGTTGGGCATCTGGAGCATACTGAGTTCCTCAGTTGCCCATTCCGAAAGCTACCCAGGCCACTCGTACTAAACTCATTGCTTTTGATATTGTCACACTGACGTTAATGGAACAGATTCTTTCTAAATAACCATGCTTTAACAAATCATAAGAGTATTTGCGCAAATGTTAGGTAGTTTTGTAAAGTATATCAATTCTATGGCGACTTCCAAACCGTCATTAAAATGTTTTTTTGATTTGCTTCGTGTGGTGTATTGGTTAGAGATCTCGACTGCTTTCTAGCAGTCAAATGACCGTCTCCTCGCGGATGGTTTGATCATTAGGAAACCTGAAACCGGGGTTTGAAAGTTTTACTTTTGAAGACAGGGTATGGTCATTTTTGGAAAAGACAATCTACGTTGTAGTCATTCCTAGTGAGTCTCAGCATAATAGAAGCGGTTCCAGTCATAGTTTAGCATGGGTCGTAATTTGGGGAGGTCAGTTTTCAGGCAATAGTACAGAACAGCACTCTTCTGTTAGGGCCCCAGAAATGCCGGACAAATTCGGTCGTGTTCAAGGATGTTACGTGGAGAGACGGATGTCCCAATAATCATGGGTGTTGTTCACAGCCGCGTAGTCATCAGAAGAATGGTCGCTAAATGGGAGAATGATTATGCCGTATCCTTTATGAATATTGTTTACGACCATATGGTCCGATTGTTGGCGTGGTTTTTGGAAGGAAGAAGTATTCTCCCCCTTTACTTTACATCTGTTCATGTGCTCCTTTTTACTGATGTTATGGTTGTGCTGCACGTATAAATTCCTTTAATTTTAAACGCACAAGATGCCTGTAAACATAGACGCTGTTTTTATCCCGGTCAACGGTCTTCCTGTGCGACACCTGGCCGAAGCACGGAACTCGTGCTTTCATAAAGGAAACTACTCACAAGGTTGCTGAAAACTTTTCGACAGCCCACGACCGTTTTCGCCCTTCTTGGGGCTCATCAGGTAGGCGCAGTCCCCGAGTTTCCGTCAACCTTATGTTCTACTTGAATCCAAATTACACTGTTTTCGAGAACTGCACTCATTTGCAAATCAATTTGGTTTTCACGGGAGACTCAATCGAATCTCTCGTTTATGATGTCCTCCAGCTGAATGTGCTGCACACAGGCCGCCTCATGATTCAGTTGGCACGATATTCGAGATATCGCAGTACATTTTCATAAGGGAAACTACTCACAAGGTGGCTGAAAACTCTTCGACTGTTGACGACCGGTTGATGAATATCATAAACGAGAGATTCAGTTGAGTCTCTCGTGAAAACCAAATTGATTTGCGAATGAGTGTATTTCTCGAAAACACTGCAATTAGGGTTCAGGTAGATCATAAGGTTGACGGAAACTCGGGGACTGCGCTTACCTGATGAGCCTCAAGAAGGACGAAACCGGTTGTGGGCTGTCGAAGAGTTTTCAGCCACCTTGTGAGTAGTTTCCTTTATGAAAATATACTGCGATATCTCGAATGTCGTGCCAACTGAATCATGAGGCGGCCTGTGTGCAGCACTTTCAGTTGTAAGATATCATAAACAAGAGATTCAGTTGAGTCTCCCGTGAAAAACCAAATCGATTTGCAAATGAGTGTATTTATCGAGAACTCGTGCTTTCTTCTCTTCGAAGGAGGATCGAGTGGTACCGATGGCTCCGTACCTCCTTGTTGATGGCATTTTCGGGGCTTTGTCCGAAGCTACATTCTAGGTCACCGGTTCTGTAAATCAGACGTTCTTTGCAGGCATCTTTACTACTTTCACTCCGCTATATTTCTCTCCATTGAACTCAATAAGATGAATTTGTGTATTCAGCCATCTGTTTAGGTAACCGTATTCTTGTTCTTTATTCATAACATTATCGAAAACAAGAAAATTTGTCCGGGCTTTGAATGGAAGGGCGTCCAAAATATTCTATCGCTTTCTTGGTCGTTGTCAGCAGGTCTGAAACATTTTTGGGCCTCTGGCCAATAATGCCTCGGAACTGTGGCTGGAGTTGGAGCCAAGGAATACACAATCAGGTGGTCAGGAAAAGAGCTTTTGGTGAAGTAACTGGTATTTCACGTAAGGAATGAATCCCGCTCTGCAAGCTACGTTGACTCGATTATGCGCATTCCGAGCTATCATCCAGTGGGAAGGAGGCTATTTTTGGTGTCCCATCCGGAGTGATAATACCTAGAGGCTGGTAAATTGGAATGAAAGCTGCTACGAGCATCTTGAAGTTGTCCCTACGATGTCCTTTCTGGATGAATTCCCATGACTTTCCCTTTTAATGGGAGGCATTGAAAAACGATGTGGGCAACACATATCAGGGATTTTCGTGCTGTTAGTTTTTATCCAATATCTGACTGAGTTTTGAAGTTGTAGACACTTCGGAAGCCTATGATAAGGTTGCAGTAAGCTCTCCCTCTTCCTTCTTTCCTTTCATTATGGTTATAAATAAGTTGACGTAGTCATGCGGTAGTAAAGTACCTGTGTTTCACATTGATTTTACCGTCTATGGCCTTGCAATTTTGTTAGAAGAGGGTTAACTTGATGCAAGTTTGGTTATTCGGTTCCTTGTTTACAAGGCGCCGGAAGTGAAAACTGACATGCTTTAATGCAGGCATGGCCACACAGCAACGCAGCTTGTTGCTGTTTGGATTAATCAAAACCGCGCATTGAATGGTCAGGAAATCTTCCTTAACATGAAAGTAGTTTTCTTTCCTTGGTTAATCTGAGGGATTTAAGTTTTGTGTCTCCTTTGGTGAACACATGTTCCCCGTCGGCTGCGTCGGATTGGCACGCATGCTTGCTACTGATCATAGGTAGACAGTCACATGCACGAGGTCTTTTTTGTTGTGGTCCATCATGTACTAGTTTGTCCATACAAGTATGAATCTTGGTTTCCATCTGTCAAACAGAACCCTAACGTTTACAAATCCAGACAACGATGCTAGTGTATTTCTAAGGGTGCAGACCCTGACTTGTACGAAATTTTGTAGATAGATCACGCCCTTTGATAAGTGCCTGAATTTGGACCATGTACCGATTTGTTTTGACTCTGATATGCGCGTTGTGATGGTGAACTTGGTTCTTCAAATTTCTCATGATATGATTTGTAAGTAATCCTTGAGTAGGCTGCAACCATTCGATTTTTCAGTGAATTATCCATTCCGATGAAATGGAGTAGCAAGTAACAAAAGCTCGTTATACAGTACCACGTAAGACTACATTCAGAACTGCCCAACTGCAAATTTTCCTTCTCTGGGTGCTTGATACGTCCATCGGACATGCCGCAGCTAATTGATGTCAGTCTGGTGTCGGGTGACCTTAATCTAAGTCGGACAATTGGGATATGCGTACTTTGTGAAATTGACTTACGTCATCGTGAACCTAACCTTAGATAATGAAGTGAACATATGTTTGGTGTAATCACATTTTCTCCGTAGCAAATTCGCCCCACAAACTACCATGCACCGCTTGAGTATCCGAAGTGGACAACAGACGGCAACGATCACTGCTACCATCAAACTACACTCAGAATAAGGCATTTCACAAATTGCATGAGCCTCCCATCTGAGGAGTCACTCGAGGAGCCAACACATGACCACGTGATGCCAGCCGTGTGACTGATTAACGAATAGCACAATATCCCTTCTAAAAACGGATTAATCACACGTTGGTCATCTGCTCGTGGCCGAACGCCTCAGTCTACAACTGCCGACCTAAAGGTTACAGGTTCGAATCTCTTACTGCCAGTGATTCCCAACGAGGAGGAACCACCTGTACATCGCCTTGAGTTTTTAACATATACTTGACTGCAATTCCAAGATGAGATCTATCAAGTTTCAAAATCTCTTCATACATTTGCTACATGTATGCGTAACAGGATTTTACTCAACATATACCTTTTTGACGCACCATTCTCACTAAAGTTACTTCCGTTTGCTGGCATTTTACCTTGACCACAATATTGGTTTCATACGTGTTCATTTTGATTGCTTTTTTTCCCAGTGGCGGATAGGTCGGACGATACTCCACGTGCTGCATCCCAAATAGCTTCGTCTTCTCCAGGCTCACTGAGATTTCTTGCTCACAGTTTGCAGAAAGTCTTCTACTTCTTGGCCTTTCTCCTCTGTTTTGTTGGGATATGTTTGCCTGTGGTCACAGACGAACTCAGCGGCTGGTTGCACTTGCTTCCCATTCGTTTTGGTTTAAAAACTTCGACTACAGTCTCCTCAACCATCTCTCCAGATGGTACTTGCGATGTGCTGGTTGGTGAAGGGCAGAGTCAGGTGTCACCATCTTGCTCACCTACTCAGCAATACAAGTCAGACCGTCGGATGCACAATTTGGACGAATTTGCTCGACATAGTCAGCTGGCTATTCTATCTTTGAAGACTGCTGTTCAGAGCATTTACAGTGCATTGAGTTCGCTGAATCCACTCACTATGATCGCAAATTTTTCCTGGTTTTGTCTTGGTAAGTCGTATTCATCTTTTTTATATTAGTGTGTGCAACCGTCTCTCTTAGGTTCAGAGGAAGGAAGTCCTCGAACTCAGCTCTTTGCTACTCTGTTTCTCCCGTTCGTCGATTATCCAGGCTCCATTTCATATTCACCAGTTTCCCCCAATATCGAAGTCCCAATTAATTTGTTGGTGAACAAAAAAATTTGTGGATACTTGGTCTTGTTCGCACTGGAGCTAGTAATAAGCATGACTAGCCCAAAATAGTGCTCGTTCATTCAATCTCAACCCTTGTTTTGCCTACGCTGCACAGCCTTCGATCTGAACTCAAGACTCTTCTTTAACGCACGTGGAGAACATCGTTTACTTTTGCTTTGCCTAGCTAGTCGACTAGGAACAGCAATCCCTAATGCTTCGGCGTGCGGCGGACTGGCAAAACTGTTAGAAAACAAAGCTGCTCTGCTTTCCAAATTTCTAAATCCTTCTCCACGAAATCGATGAAACAGGCTTCTTATTCATAGAACGTAGCATACCACATTTGAGAGGATCATAGAGTTTTGTGCAATTAGTTAATGTGACTGGCTTGATCATTTCTGAAAACATGACTAAGTTTCTACTACTGCCGAAGCCGTTTGCAGAAAGCTATTTACTTGGTGGGTCGCTGTTCGAGTAAAGTCTATCGACGACGAATTTGATGAGATTAATAATAAAGCGACCGCCACAGATTGGTTGTCGCTGCGGAGAGTGTAGTAATTCGGTGTTATTACGTAGATTAAAAGTACGAGTTAAGTCCATTCTCTAGTTTCGCTGGCACAACGGCGGGGACAAATTTACCAAAGTTATTGTTGTTGAATCCAGAAGGCCTTACTCCATAAAATTTTGACGGGATCGATCAAAAGCTGTCACTGAAGAGTGGTTTTTCGGTGAACTTTTTCACTCCTTGTGTACTTGTCATGGATTTCCGCCTTTTCCCTGCATCACCTTCTTACCTCTATGCCTGCTTCACTGTGCAGTAATCAACTGCTTGTCCGTAACCGCGCTAAGCGTTGGTGCTCAAGTGTTTTCCTCCCTCCCCGTAAAGTACGCTGTCATTCGCGAGCGCTTTATTTAGTCCTTTTCTGAAGAGAATGAAAATCACAGTCTATTTTGGATAGTCAAAGTCCTTCTAAACATAAGGCGGGTAATTTAGGTTTGTCACGTCAAAAGTGTTTTCTCCTCGGTGTCTTTCATGTTCGAATATAGATAATGCTCTCGTTCAAACTATTCAATCTCTACAACTTCGCAATGTGTAGGGGGTCCTTGCACCTGTGGATTCACTGTGGTTGATATTTGATGAGACCGCTGGCCACTGGCAGGAAGGTTAGATTCCTGGAAGAGACCCCCAGAGTACCTAGGACCTACTGGGGCCCTAAAACTCCACCAACATCTCAAAAGGGAGGCCAGCAAGCATTCAGGTCAGTTAATCACTCAATCAATTTAGCAAAAGTTAATGAGTGTTCAGACACGCCACAGATGCATGATCGACTATGATAAGTTTACAGGCATTTCCAGGGAGGCACGGTCGATGTTGGTCGGTTGACGCCGTTCAAACAGTCTGGACCAATGTCAAAAAGTGCCCTTTAGTTGGCACGGGGCTGATGTAGCTTTTGCACTCGCTTGTTGCAGTAGAGCTGTTGTGCTCTTTGTCGGCGAGTCTTTTTCCGGCACTAGGCACTGGAGCGGGAACAGCAGTCAGATATAACAGCCACCAACACTCATGTCTTTTCAGGTTGGGCGCCACACGATTGCTTGCTTGGTTAGATGACCTTTCTTATTTCCTATCATAACATCTTTGAAAAGCAGTTCCTTTTTCCAACCTAAACTCGTCACGGTCATCTACTACTCGTGTATCGATTGCACAGCTGTGCACCGCTTTTAAGCTTGATTCCAACCGGGGAGTAATGACTTGTCATGTGCATGCTACATGGCTTAAAATTAGCAAATTTTTGACTCAGTATTTGCCTGTGATTATACCTCCCATCCAGTGTGACGAAAATTATGCCATCAATCTTACTCTGTAGGATCATTCGTGTCTCAAAAGTGGGACGATCTCTGTGGGATCTTTGCGTCATTTTTCGTTCACTTTCACGCTTGCTGACATGGTGGGTATATTACAGAAATAGGAACGGCAATCTTTTCGAAGCCTTGTCATCAGATCGGCATGTATCCAATGATCCATATACCGTCCACGAGGTGAAAAACACATTGGCAATTACAATAAAAGTGAACATAAATGAGAGATCAATTGAACCCCCGTTAACAACAGAAGTAATTTGCAAATGAGTATGCTTCGTCAGTTGCGAACAACTCGTTGTTCACGTAGAACATAAGGTAGGTGAAAGCCTGGGGACTGCGCCTTCCTTGTGAACCCAACAAGGGTGTAGCAGGTGGTGGGCTGTCGAAAAAATATGAACACTTGTCTTGCAGGTTCTGTCAGATCGTTCCCAGTTATGTTATTGCCTGCGAATTTCCGCCCTCACCTAACCGCCTTGAAGAACTCACCACCACGTATAACACGTATAACTGCAGACATCGCCCAGATCCAAAGCCTATTGGACTATTACAGGAAATCCGATTTTATCCGTGTTTTTTCACATCGCCGGAGGTTCCAGCCACTTCGCTGCTGTTCTAGGTTTCGTAAATTTAACGGTACGACCAACCCGAATATGTACGGACTATATGTTTTTTATGATCCAATTAGTGAGCGGTTGTGGTCACCAGAAAATCGACAATACGACACTTGTCAGTTACACTCTCGTACTAATGAAAGTGATATACTTACTTTCACAAAGAACGGAATTGCTGCTAGCAGTATGACTACGTTAGGAAGGTGTTTAAAATATCCTCATTCAATACGCTCAGACTAATGTGCGTCAAATGACTTTTGATATCATTCCCGTAGTCTACTGGTCGCTTTTATTCACATTTATGGACTTTCTCTGAGGTCGGGAATCCAGAAAACACTATCCTTGTTTTCAAACCTAATACTTTCTCACCATTGTCATTGTGTCATTGGGGCGAGATGGCTTAAGTGTTTGAAGCGCGAATTTACTGACCGGAAGCTCCGTGGTTCGAATCCGACCTCCGCCACTCGACTTCCCCTGTCTAGACTTGGGCAACCTGGCAGTATCCCAGCCCTCGTGCTTCCTTCGGGTGGCATGGCAGCCAGGCACCGGAAGGGTGCTACAGCTGAATGCTTTCTTTTTTTCTTTCGTGTCATCGAATGCTTAAGTTGCATTACCTATTGGTTATATGCACAAGTATGCCTGCGTTCCAGCAATAATTGCAGTGTACACATCGTTTCGAAAGTTCATTCTGTGAATGCCCAACATAACGTGACGAGTGATGTCCACAAGGATGACTGAAGCAAAAACAGCACCCCCCCAAAGGGCCCAAGCGGTGCTCTTCTAAACGCCCTATCCGGGTGAGCACACACACATACACACACTTTAATCTCATTTTCATGTGCATTCAGGATAGAAAACAACTGGTATAAAGGTATGTACATCGGGGGATAGCAAGCATCAGGAAAAAAATTAGTTTTTTTATCTTTAATCGCCTTAGTAACGACAATGTTGGGTAGTTCGGGTACGCTGCCTGATTGGTGAGTCAGAAGATAACTACACTTGGGTCTTGTAATCAACGCAAAACATCGGGAGAACAAACGAACGAAGAGTATAGACTGATTCCAGTGTTTGGTGTCGCCCTGTTGGTTTGGGACAATGCTTTTCGTTTCCCATATTTTGGCAGTTTCCGCATAAATTGCCCCGATGTTGTACACACTTTCTTGCCAGAGGGTCGCGTGCAATTCGCTGAAGTTCATATTCTCTAGAATTTGACAAAAACTTCCCATCAATACCTTCTTCCGGTCGGTTTGTGCTCACAATACACCATACTTTCCAGAGAAACTTTACAAAGTGTTGGTTGGGACAGCGTCCCCAACCTTCATGAGAGCTTACGTTTACTGCGCTTTATTTCAGGTTTTTTCATCATGAGGCATGTACATTAAGTGTGATGTTTTATCAGACAAAATAATCTTGATCTTTGGTACATTTCTGTGAGTGTATAAGCATCCCGCAACCAGTTTTAGGGGAATGCGCTTCCCGTCACTAATAGGTCAATTACGTTCGTCACTTAAAATGCGTTCATGCACTGATTGTCCCCAGATTAACAGTTTTCGGATACGTATTATTGTTGCCCTCCAGCCAATACTGTAGTTCTGAGTGCGAACACAAAGGACGCTGCTGGACTGAATGACCGCACTGGGCTTGAAGCGCCTCTTTTCGGCGAGAGTCGCGTGATTCAACAGGATTTGGGAGTCATTTCACACTCTTCTTGAAGACAGTCTGTTGCACCATACTGCAATATGTGCTTCAGTGAACAAAGAACGCGACGACGCAGCACTGAAAACGCACAACCCTGCAGCGAACTCAGAGTGTCCGGTTTGTGATGCCAGATATATGTTCCGATGCCGTGTGCGTGACACTTAGTGGGCGGTGCAAATCTGCTCCGATAAAACGTTTTACGGAAATTCACCACTTAACTCTCAACTTACTGTGCATCGTCTCCAGAGGAAAATGTACCTTCAAAAAGATGGCGTGATTTATTTGTATTACATAGTTGCACCGCAACACTGTCAAATTCCGTATGTTTACACAGACGTAGCTGCGATTCCCATCCTTCACTTGTCGAAAAGCTTAGCCTGGTCCTGAGCAAGGTATCGGGCTTTTGAAGGCACGGTTAGCTGAAGCGTCGTCCATTCTGACTTTCTCTGTTGTTTGTGGAGCTTAATCTTAAATAATCAAAACCATTTTTTCAGTCCAACAGCGATCATCAAGAACTTTCTTTCCAACCGTCACAGT